GACGTGGAGGACTATAATGTAACAAGAGCTCTTTCAAATACTGAGGTGCTAAACCATTCAGGGCTATATAAGTAATTTGCAAGATTTTAAAATCCATACGATGTTTAATAGGTAGCCAGTGCAGTGTTGACAGAACTGGGCTAATATGGTCATACTTCCTGGTTCTAGTAAGAACTCTAGCTGCTGCATTTTGGACCAGCTGGAGTTTGTTTATTAAGCGTGCAGAACAACCACCCAATAAAGCATTACAATAATCTAACCTTGAGGTCATAAACGCATGGATTAAGATTTCTGCATTTGACATTGAGAGAATAGGTCGTAATTTAGATATATTTTTGAGATGGAAAAATGCAGTTTTACAAATGCTAGAAACGTGGCTTTCTAACGAAAGATTGCTATCAAATAGCACACCTAGGTTCCTAACAGTGTGAGATAGATATAGTGCAGAGGCGTGTGTCAGATGAACAGCAGACAGAGTGTATATTAAAGAAATATGAAAGAGCAGAAGCTGATCTGACCTGGTGAGGAGATGTGATGATCTGTGATCGTGATGGTGCTGGATTGAAGCTTCGTGTCTGATGTGCTCAAATGAGGCAACGTGTTTGAAAATGAGCTCAGAGTTTGATCTGAAAGTAAATATAGACTGAGCTGCTATACTGACACAATAAATATAGTAACTGGAAATGTAATATTAAATGTCCAGCACCTGGATGGAGGGTGGATGTTGAGATCTGGACAGGCCTTGTTTTCTGTGGAGCTGAGAAACAAGGGAGAGCCTTCACACCGTTTATAAAGCCATCATCATCTATAGCAGTGTTTCTCAACCCTGGTCCTGGGTGCCCCCCAGCACGGCACATTTTGTGTGTCTCCCTAATCAAACACACCTGATTCAACTCATTAGCTCATTAAAAGAAACTCCAGGACCTGAAATGGGTGTCAGATAAGGGAAACATACAAAATGTGCAGTGTTGGGGGGTGCCCAGGACCAGGGTTGAGAAACACTGATATATAGCATGAATCATTGTGAATATAGTGGATGAAACAGACTGTTGCTCAGTACTGAATATCAGTCACCTTTAATCACATTCAGCTGGATTCGTTTATATTCTCCCCATCCAGCTCCACAGCTGTACAGTCCAGCATCTGCCATCCTCAGGTCTCTGATGGTCACCGTAAATTATCTCGTCTGATGATCGTCCCGCAGAGAGAATCTGCCTTCAGACACTGATGACTCTCCTCCATCAGATTGTAGTATACAATTATTATCTTTGTATCATCCCTTGTAGACGTATTTGTAGGAGTTTTCATATCCTTTAGCATAAGGACACTTAATAGTCACTTGTTCTCCCTCTGTTCCTCTCTCTGTAATATCCACACACTGTGAACTGCTCACTGCACACACACACACACACACACACACACACACACAAACACATACACATACACATACACATACACACACACACAAAAACACACACACTGCTTTACTCACATACATTTATAAAATAGTCATACCTTAGACTATGAACTCTTTTTATGTAGCGGTTAAAACAGAAATGAATGAATTACAGATCCTCCTGAACTCACCAATCAGTAGAAACACAGAGACTGTTGGTGAGAAGCTCATTCTCACGGTCACATCAGTCTGACAGATACACAAGTGACAGAGAGCAGCTCCACAAATGACTCGACTATAAAAACTGAAGCAAATGTTGACTTTGTGTTTAATTGCTGCTCGTCTCCTGTGGTGAGAATCAAACTCTACAGTCCACAAACCTCTGTGTGATGTTGAGGGGCATTATTTGTGATATCAGGAAATTAGCTGAACTGCAGTACTTCCACCAAGCAGATGCTTATTTCAGCAAACACAATCCTTTCTGCACGAAGATAAATACTGAGAAAGTAAGACTCTTTAATAACAAAGATACAGTAAGTTTTCTTCAGTGTTACTGAAGGATTTCAGCATCTGATCCCTCTCCACACTGAACTCTGATGGACAACATGTGAAATTATAATAGTGACCAAACTAAAGCAACATATTACACTTCCATACATCTTTATTGCATCACTGAGCATGAAGACAGAACGAGGTGCTGGCATTGTGACACAGAGTCTGAGTGAAGCTGCTGAGAGTGAATGTTGTTGTTAAGCGGTTGAGGTTTAGCTGGTTAGTGAGGTCTAGTTTAGATGCTGGTGGATGTCGTAACGACACCGTCTGGCTGCAAAGAGCATCTTTCTTCATTCACAGCATTTAAAAACATGCTCATTGACATTTATTGACGTTCATTAACATTAATATAGACACTGATTGTTTACACACAGAAAAACTGCATGAACTGAGTGTAATATTTTAGATCTCTTTTGCTCAACATTGGAGTGTTAATAGGCCTGCTGCTTTACACCCGTGAGAAAACCTATTAACTGCTGCTAAAAGAAAACTATTGAGACTGTAACACTTCTGTGTGGCCTTTTATTCTGAATGTAACAAGCTCATTTTCTTCAGTGTGATTAAACTCTGATGGACAACATGTGAAATGAGCCAAAGCAACATTTTATTACACTCCCATACATCTCTATTTCACTACTGAGGCTCCAAAAAAAAAAATGTAATTCAAATTCGTAATTTGCTTTTAAAGGGGTCATATGATGCGATTTCAATTTTTTCTTTCTCTTTGGAGTGTTACAAGCTCTTGGTGCATAAAGAAGATCTGTAAAGTTGCAAAGACTAAAGTCTCAAATCCAAAGAGATATTCTTTATAAAAGTTAAGAGTCAGCCACACCTACCTAAAATGGCTCGTTCTAACACACCCCAACATACCTACGTCGCTCTGTGGGAAGATTTGCATAACGTCGCCCAAATGTTCACGCAAAGAAAGAAGGCATAACTTTTATTCTCGCTGTAGTATTGTTGCCACCGCCATATCCTGAATACGCTGTGTGCTTCGTTGTGAAAGCGAAACTACTTTGTTTGGT